ATTTCTCTGGGTTTCGTAAAACACAATTAGAGAGATTTGTCAGCATCATGACTGCTTGAGGTGTGGCTAACAGTTGGGGCAAAGAATAGGTTAATTCAAAAGCTTAAAAAGAAAATTTGGAAGATGAAATTTCCATAGAGGATTGATAAACTCCAACATATCCCTGCTAACCTCAACAGCCATGCTCATGTATCTTCAGGAAAGCCCTCCAAATTCCCCAACCTCTCACCTCTGCTTGATCTTCAGGCTCCGCACAAGCAAGGATGTGGGCTCGGCATTCTCACCTGCCCATGGCAGCGACAAAGGCATTTTTCAATATGCACAGACAGCCCCTTGGCAAAGGTTAGGAGACTCCTTGGTTCAAGCCATTGAGGAAGATCTTTGAGCAGTTATTAACTGACCACTAACCTAACTGAGCAGAAATTTTCGTAACTACACAAGAAACAAAATACAGAATTAAGTATGAAAATTCACTCAACAAACAACAGCAAACAAACACTGGGGAAGGAGGAGATTTACACTTATAGAGTTCCTACGTTGCACTATTTAACGTGGCAACTTTCCACAAAAAATTACAAAACATTTAAATGATAGCAAATTCCTCTTAAAAAGCCCAAATATTGGCATAGATAGACAAAATCTTTAAGTCAGTTGTTTTAAATATTTCCCACCATGAGATGACAAATATTTGAGGAGCTAAATATGTCTAATCTGATCAAAACATTATCCAGTGTATACATGTATCAAAATATCACATAGCATGTCATAAATGTATGTTTTATGTTATGTCACTTAAACTAAATTTAAATTTACACTAGAGATATAAGCTAAATTAAACTATGTGTACAGAACAAAAGGAAAGTATGGATATGATATCTTACGTGGAAGAGAAGTTTTCCCGAATACAGAATTCTTGGTAGTCATCTCCATTTTCCTAGTTTGAATACACCATCTCTCTATCCTCTGGCCTATACAGCTTCCGAAGAAAATTGGCGATTAATCTTATAGAGCAGTGACGGGGAACCCATGGCACAGACGCCACAGCAGGCACACAGAGCCCTCTCCGTTCACGTGAGCTATGTTGTTGCAGCCAGGGTTTGACAAATGATCAGCGTGCACACAATAGCAAAAGTCACATTAATTGTGCAAAAGCATACCAAATGCAAATTTCTACCTTTCAATAAAAAGTTGTATCATTGAAAGCTTTGTTATTGTGGTTTTAAGATAAAATTTATTCATGTATGAGTTGATTTTTTCTAAGCTAAAACCTCAGTATTCGTGTTTAACTGCAGTGTTAGTACTTTGCAATAAATAAGTGGGTTTTGGATTACAGTTTGGGCACTAGGTCTCTAAAAATTTCGCCACCGCTGTTTAGAGAATTCCTTACACAAGTCTCATCTCTCTTGCTCTTCTGAAGAATGCTTCTTTGTCTTTGTCGTTTGAAATTAGATTTTGATATGTTGAGGTGTGTATCTTTTTGAGTTTCTCCTACTTGGAGAATTTTGAGTTCCTTGGATGTACACATTAATGTTTTTAATTAGATTGGGTAGATATTCTGTTATTTTTTCTTTATATATTCTTTCTGTCCCTTTCTCCTATCTGACTAGGACATATGTGGGCATATTTTGGTAAATTTGGTGTTTCACAGGTCAATGAGTAATGTTAATTTTTATTCCACCCTTTTTAATGGTGACATTTATGCTGCTTATCTCCCATTTTTAAGTTCTTTCACCAACTCAAATCTGCTGTTGGTTGAGCTTTAGTAATATTTTCATTTCAGTTATTGTACTTTTCAACTTCAGAATGTTTATTTGGCTCTTTAAAAATAATTTCTCTTTATTGTCATTCTGTATTTGGAGAAAAGAAGTAGAAAATATGAATATATCTATAGTAAAAGCATGATGAACAAATGAAGGGATTAAATTAGTAATCAATAACACTCCACAAAGAAAAACATATACATTTTTCATGTTATTTTATTTTTGTATAAGAGTTATGTTATTCCATTTTAAGCATTAGTTTTACGTTAAATTGAATGCCAAATCATGAGTCACAGATGTAAGAAATTTGTTTTTTTAAAACATGGTCATGCAAGCCTTTAACTCATCCTTTCTAAAGAAGGAGCTTAAATTGTTATCCATTAGGGGGTCCAATTAAATTGCACTGTATCATTCAATGATTTCTGACCCAATAAATGTTATAAAAAATGCTTTCAAATGAAATTTGCTCACTAATAAAGAAAAAGGCTAAAATGATAATTAAATTGGCAGCTTAAATTTTGCATCTATCCATGTATACCTGTAGTGGTTAACCAGAAAACAATGTTATAAAATTAATCAATATGTAGCAGAAAGAAAAAGATTCAAAAGTTACATCTAAAAACTGAAAGATGATAAATGTGTGAAACTAATCTAAAAACTGAAAAAACTAATCTAAAAACTGAAAGATGATAAATATGTGTGCTCCAAGAAAAAGAAAGGAAAGAGAGGGTGTCCTCAGATTTATTAAAGCCCTGAACAAGGTTTCTGAGAAACTCAAGAAGAAGATCGACTTACATTCAAGAAGTTCTAGTATTTGGTTTTACTTTTGGTAGAATAACTACAGGATTATTCTCGATATTCTGTTCTTTTAAAAATTCTTCTGTCTTCTAAATTGTCTGGATTTTAAAATTTTTATTTTCTACCATTTCTCTAAAATACCAATCAATAATCACCTACTACTGTCTTACTTTGACTTTTTCCAATTTGCTCCTTTTTTGTTTCATGCAAGTATTAAAATCTAAATTAAATTAACATTTTAAAATAAAAATTAGAAATTTTTCATGTAAAATAATTACTATTTTATGCAAATATGCATAAGTCAATGAACAAGTCTTTTACATCCTTTTGATAGCTTATTGGGAAATTGATCTTTGCTTTCAGTTTTAATTCCTACAGGAAGCAAAAGATTATACATATATAACATTTTTCAATATGCTTAATTACTACAGTTGAAGCTTCTTGTATTTCCCTAATGAATTACTTGTCTATTATGAAGAAATGGCTCTCTCTGAGGACAATCATTTATTACACCTGAGCCTTCCTGGTCCCAATTGTACCACATGCTGCTTAATAATTTGTAATGATTTAGGAAGATTGCCATAACCACTCAATTATTTAAGCAATGGCTCTGGATGCAATCTATAGAGCATGAGGCATATCCTTAGTCCACATTTAGAACTGTCTTGTTAATTAAATAGAATCCAGAAATGACTCTGTTTCGAGCATTCTATAGACAGTGGACACCTATCCTGGAGGAATGAAAGTGGCCATTTTCTTTGGCCTATCTGGGCAATTGTGGCATTATCCTGCAATGGAACGTAGCAGACAAAAAAGTAGACAAGGGTTTAGGAAATCTGATTGCTAACTCTGGCTTGCTTGCTTTTTAGTATTTGATCTTTGGGCAGTGGTATTCTCTGAGCTTTAGTTTCCTCCTCTTTGTGGAACTGTGAAATTTAACTGCTAATTCCTTCAGCCTTTTTCTAGTCCAAAACACCCCTCTCTGCAGCCATTCGTAAAGTTAGAAAATGTTTTTGCAAGACATCACCAGGTTATAAAACATCTCATTGACTTATTTTTTATGCTGCCTCCTGAAACAATATAATGAAAAATTGAACACTATAATTTAAATTATACTTATTAAAAATTTTAATTATTTCTGAGCTGATGAGATAGAATTGCCAGACAGTGTACTTTAACTGAACAGCTCTTATGGTCAGATTCAACCTTTCTATGGGGGAAAAAAGACACCTGGCCATATGTCTAGGTAATGAAATTTGAAGGACAAGGGTCATGTGAGTGACTGCTGAAGAGAAACTTTACTGATTTCAAAATTATCCTTTGGACTGGCCCCATACTAATAAGGAATGGAATATGCTCTTTCTTATTACTATTTTATTAGTTTGTTGAAGTAAGTGGAATGTATTAAAAAGTCAGTATAAATGACTACATAATTTGTACCTAGTATCTATTACAGTACAATAGAAATTTTAAATGCTTTTTTATGCTTCCTTATCCAGCACAAAGATCATAAGTTTTGGAGCTGATATATCAAGTTTTGTTCTCAAATGATCTTTAAATGATGTTGGGCAAGCATTTTAAAGTTTCTGAGATTTTTTTCCATGTGTTAACATATGACCCAGGGCTTTTTCAATGTATGATAATAGGACACATTCATTTTCAGGGTAGTATCTAGACACATTTTCATTAAAAAATTATTATTACCATCACTGTATCCTTTCTTCAAGAGTAAGGAGAGCACGTGCTAGTTTTACCAGGAACAAGAAAAGTGATGTAAGAAGAATTGAAAAACAAAGGCACCATTTTGCCATTTTTTAAACTTTGACACAAGTACCTCACTTCCTTAAAACAAAAGTGCCCACATACAATCTCACAGGATGTATGATACTTAAATGAAATGTCACGAGTGCTTTTGTTTATATTTTTATAACTCTTAAGACAGAAATAGCTTATCTTACTTAATTATGAATGCTTTCCATCTTATAATTTTGATGCATAATTTTTCAAGGCTATTGTGTGTCTAGATAAAAAAGATTGCCAAAAAGAATGAGATTCTGCATGTAAAATTTTAAAAATTTGACATTTTACCCAATTATATAAATGGAAACACTCTCCATGCCAACTACAGATTGACTGTATATTTTTAATAATTAAATAATAGGCCATTGTGTGGATACATCACAATTTAAGCAGTTCCCAATATTTGATTTTATCTTGCTTATTATTGGAAGTTATAGCACGCTTTCCTATACATGCATATTCTGCATTTGCCTAGTTGCTTCCTCAAGATAAATTAATAAATACATAACCCTTTACTAAGGCTTTCAATATATGGTATTGAAAGTCATTGCATTAGTTATCTATTGCTCCATTAAAAAGTCACACAAAATCTGAATGGCTTGAAACAACGATAATCATCTTCTTTTTTTTTATCTCCTGTAGTTTTTATGGGTAAGGATTTCAGACACCTCAGGAGTGGATTTCCTCTGCTCTGATATTTGAATAGTAACTGAAGACTGGAAGTCAGTGGGCTGGAATCACCGGTAAGCTTGATTACCCTTTTGTATATGTCGTGGTTGGTGGGTACTGTCAGCTCGGAGCCTGGCTTCTGCACAAGAGAGTGAATAGGCTGCAAAAGTGTGGTGAGGGGAGGAGGGAGAAGAGGAAAAGAGGGTTGGGGAGAGGGGAGAGAGAGGGGAGGAAGAAGGGGACAGAGACAGGGAAAGAGAAAGGAAGGAGTAACTTTACTGCACATTATGGCCTAGCCTTTGAAGTCACACAGTATCATCTCTGCCACATTTTTTTAGTGGGAGCAATGACAAAGGTCACTCAGGTTCAAGAGGAGGGGACATAAATCCCCCTCTTGATGGAGAAGAGATGATGTCACATGGTAAGAAATATACATGACATGGACTATGTTACTGCTGCCTTGTTTGGAAAACACTACCCACCTTAGCCAGCACAGATCTTCTGATGTGTATCACCAAGGCTCGGTCCATCAGCAGTGTAAAATTTAAGGTATATCTCTGCATACTTAATGATAAAAAAAGTGTTTTGCTATTGTTTTAGTTTGTTTTATAATTAAACAACCAAACACTGCTTTATACATTGTTTATCATTTATGTTTTTTTCGTAATATTTTGGACTAGTCTTCCATGTTTCTGTGAATATTTATTAGTCGTTCATAAAACACTCTCACATATTAAGAAAATTATGCCTTTTTATAGACAGCCCTTCTTCATCCTCGTTGAGGTCCAGGAAGTTTGTATTTGTAATCCCATGGGAAAGTTACTGGAATTCTAGTGAGTTAATTCCAGTCTACCACTTCCAGTACAACCATGGCGAAAATAAAGACATTAAAGCATATTGGTAGTTATGGGGAGCCAAGGGGTTGTAAGTTCAGCTAGGATGATGGCTAATGGGAACAAAGGCCTTGACCCAAGGTTGAACCTGTGTTTTATTAACTTGTGAAAAAAGGAGTGGCTTGAGGGTGAACGACTGTGACAGCGGTGGGAAGTAAGTGAATGCTGTGAAGTGGGCTGGGTAGGAGGCTTGAACTCACCTTTGCAATATGCAGAGAGAAGGATATGCAGAAAGAGTAATCTGCATGACACATCCAGGCAGTATCTAATGTTTTGGGGTTGTGCTTTAGTTCTGGTATGTGATCTTCTATGCCCTGGAAAGTCATAGCCTCTTATCTCGAGGCTTGATCCCAACTGACAGTGCTGAGCACTGGCTTTTCATCTCACCCCAGCTCACACATGTGTTTTGAGAGCTACAGGGGTAGAGAAACACTGCCCTGTCACCTTGCTTCAAAGACTACACATCAGCACCTTGGCTGGACCAATTTACATTGCTTAAAGCCAATTGAAGGGATAAGGAGAAATCCTAGCCAGCTCTGTACATATCAATACTTAGAAATAGGGCCAGGTTTAGCCAAAATAAAGATAACTGCTCTTCTTTTAAGGAGTCATCCAGACTCTCCATGCTTTTTCAGTTTTGCTTGCAATGTTTTCCCTGTGTGTCTTTTCTTACTGTTTTATTATATTATTTACTCTTTATAAACTTCTTAAAACCATTCCTATCTTATATATATTCTATGCTTATAAATACCTTCCTCATCCCACAATTATAAAACTTCTGTTATTTGTATGATAGTTTATTTATAGACTATGTCAAAATAAATTCCCTATAAATTAAAGGTAAAACCTAACATTTTCCTAAGTGTTTAGCTTTTCCACTTGTATGGTTTGTGTCTAGAGGTCCCCGCTCCACAAAGTGTTAGGTGGTCTAGGGGGTGGCTTTACAGAGGCAGCTGAATCTACAGTGTGTGATTGATTCACAGTACAATGCTGGGATTAAGGGTGTGAGTGCTATACCCACCCTGGGGTGCATACAGTAGGAGGGACATAAAGAGCCTTGGCTCTTTCTGGCTTGTTGCTTCTGCTGTCTTCTGCCTCTGTGAACTGCTGCTCCTCAGCCATGTGCCACCCTGCCCTGGAGCCAGCTGATTATGGACTGAAACCTCCACAAACTGTGAGCTAAATAAACCTTTCTTCCTTTAACTTTGGTTGTTGGGTATTTTGTCTCAGCAATGAGAAAAATAACTAAGACACAACATTATTTGTTAAAATAGTCAAAATAACATTATTTTAAAATAACAATATTGAAAGAAAATGGAGAAGGGATGGTGTGTCCCTTGTGCTCTGTTAAATGATCTATACTGGCAGTATAGTCTGGAAATGAGACAGTTATCCATATTCAGGCCCACATAGACTTGTGTCTCTTTCTGAGCTTTTCATCATTGATCTCCACTGCACCTTAGTATCATATTGTTTTAACTAATGTAGCTTATAAATACATTGTAATATATAGAAAGCTTCCTGTCTGTGAAAACATCTTATTGTGAAGAGCCATTTGCTTAACTCTGCTCTCTCCCTGGGAATCTCATCAGGCGCCTGACTTTCTATACCATCAAAAAACAACTCCCTTATTTATATCGGCAGGCCAGGCCTCTCTGCCAACTCCAAACTAAATTACCAGCTAGGAGGTGGAACAGGCCTCTTTGTTTCAACTGGTCAAAATGGAACCATTGAATTTGTTTTCTCTCTACATTTTCTCCACCCTCAATCTTCTCCAACCCAAACAATGGCTTTCTATGGGTATCTTAGTTGCTTTCTCATTGCTGGGACAACATACCTGACACCCACAATGTAAAAGAGCTCACAATTTGTAGGAGTTGCAGTCCATAGTTGGCTGGCTCCAAAGGAAACCAGCATGGCAGAGGGGTATGGAAGAGGAAAGAGAGCTCATGGCAGGGTGGTCGGAAGTAGGAGGGAAAGATCAAAGGAGGAGGGAGGGAGACATACCCTTCCAGTATAGTCTGGAGATAAGACAGTTATCATGTCCCCACTGACCCACCTCCTTCATCCAGGCTTCACCTCCTGACATCACATTTAGCCATAAACTCATCAGTAGATTAGTCATGAAGATTAGCTATCACTTATCAGTGGAAGAGTATCACATCCCTATGACCCAACCTCCTCCTCAAAGCCCCATCTATGTGCCTTAGGCTTTGGGGGAACATCTAGAAACAAACCACAATCTGCTATTACAATGAAAGACAAATTTAAAGCCTTCTCCACTGTTGGTACTAGTGCAGACTAGTCCAACCACTGTTGAAATCAGCGTGGAGGTTCCTCAAAACACTAAGATTAGAGGCCCTGTTCCACCCAGCTATTTCCCTGCTGGGTATTTTCCCAGAAGAATTTAAAACATCATACCACAGCAATTTATGTGCACCCATGTTTACATGACCACACTTTGTAACAGCTAAATCATGGATACGAACCAACTGTCCATCAACTGAGGAATGGATAAAAAAGATGTGACACGATGTGCAATGTAACAACCACTGTTGATTTGTATTAATTTGTCTTGAGACTCGCATCACTTTGAATGTTCTTGATTTGATTTGTTTATGTTCATGATACTGGTATGCTGCTACTGTTCAACTTTTTTGTTTGTTTGTTTCTCATGTATTACTCTCTTTAAAATAAAAAATAAAAAATAAAAAATGTGGTATTTTTATACAGTAGAGTACTACTCATCCATAAAGAAAGATAAACTTGAGACTTTTATAGGTAAATGGATGCAACTAGAGATCGTGCTCATAAGTGAAATAAATCAGACTCACACATGTAGACATCATATTGTCTCCTTTGTGTGAGAAACTAAAAGAGTAAATGCAATATAAAATGTACGATAGATATTGTGAAATGAGAAGAAATTGTTCAACAGGAAAAAGGAACTAGATTGGGTAAAAGGGGAAAGGTCAGTAGGGCAAAGGGAAAAAATGCAGGTCAGTTATACTATTAGTGTCTCTTAGCTCATTAAAAGGGAAGGTTTGTACTAATTTTGGTAGGAGAAATCTTTATGCCCATATCTTGTACCCTGAGCAACTACTTTAAAGATAACAACATGTAATATACTAGCTATCGTTATACTCCTATGATTTTATGAATTTATATATATATATATATATATATATATATATAAATTTAATGACATGGTAGTCCATAAGGCTACAAATAGTTGACTTTTCTGACATGCTAATTAAAATGGAAAATGTAAATTTGGGAGGGCATAGCATAATTACATGCACACTGAAATAGGGTATTAGTGTTTAAACATGGCTGAGCCTGTGACTAAGGGGTGCTAAAAAATAAAAAGCAAGTCAAGGAGCCTGGGACCTCTGGAACATTTCAAGAGTTTATTTTTGCATTTGTAAGAGAGGGGGTGTCTTTGCCTCTCTGTCAAGGCTGCTGTGGTTTCCTGCTAGTATGTGGACCAAAGAGTGTTAATCACTTTGCCTATGAGCAAGGGGTGTACTATCACATATCTGCATTTCTCACAAATAGGGCTCTTCTTGAAAATGTTTAATGTACTTTCCTAAACATTATAAATAATTTAACTACTATAACATTATGGTTTGGAGAAATGAAGCATCAAAAAAACAAAGTCCTGAACAAGAACATATCAAATGTGGCTCAATTATATATAGACCTCCATAGGAAGAAAAAGCCAACATTAATAATCATGCATTAAATTGAGTAAGACCTATTTTTCACTATTTTTAGATAAGTGTTTTAAATATAGCAATTTAAATATAAAATCAGTGGATTAAGATGAGGTGATTTTAAGAAAAATATAAAATAACATATGGGAAAATTATATAATTGTATAATAATTAGGTAGTGATAGGTAATAAATTATTCCATATCTGGGGATCATCTGTATATTATTCAGAAAGAAACAGTAAAATGTAACAACACTTTTTACAAATAGTAATCTCCATACAAAATAGGGAGGCATCTTGCACTGGTTACCCTCCATCTGTCTTTCCACAGCTGATCCTTGTTCTAGTCCACAAACCTGTGCACCAGCAAGCCAGCTTCTATGGATGGAATCATCCGCTCTCTCACCTCTCCTCCCAGTTGGCTTTGTGCAGAGAAAAAGACCAAGTACACAGGAGAGAAAGAGGCTAACAGGCAGCCATGAGGGAATTTATGGGTTTCTTTCTTCTTTTTTTTTTTTTTTTACAGTTGACTCAATTTTATTCATTATTTCATTTATTTCACTTCATCTTCACTTTAAAAATCTGATAGTTGGCATGAGTGTAGAACAATTATTTTTTAAGTTCACCCAGCTTTTCCTTTTCAACAAGGACAGAAGTCACACTGAAAATGTCACAGTGACAGAGCCAGGAGGGTTACAACAGTGCGGCTGCAGTGACACAGAAATCCCCGGAGAAGAGCCACTGAGTGTTCGCAGGCGATTGTTCAAGGGGAAATAAGGTCTGGGCTGTGTTCCCGCAGGACTGGGACTGGGCAGAGGGTGCTGAGCTGGGAACAGAGAGTGAGTCCCTTCTGGGTAAAGGGCGTGGCACACCCAGGTGGAGAGGCCAGAAGCTGGCCCTCCCCTGGCTCACAGTGCACTCTGGAAATCTCCCAGGATGCTCTCCATATTGTGCTATGAGTCTATGTACTTGGTGATGATTGTAGGAGACTGTGCTGTGACTTCAAGGGTGTCTTGGTTATGGTTCTCTCATTGCTGAGACAAAATACCTGATGCCCAGAATTAAGGAAGGAAAGGTTTATTTAGCTCAAGGTTTGTGGAGGTTTCAGTCCATACTGGGCTGGCTCCAAGGCAGAGTGGCACATGGCAGAGAACTACATAGTTCATGGTGGCAGAAGACAGCAAAAGCCAGAAGAGAACAAGGCGAGCAGCCTCTTTGCCTCCCTTACATTGTATGCAAACTACCTGCCCTGTGTAGCACTTACACCCATAATCCCAGCATTGGACCATGAATCAATCATAAACTCTAGAAGCCTGCCCATGGCTGTGTGAGGCTTTGAGGGGACATCCAGACACAAACCATAACAAAGGGCAAAGTTAGGGCTGTGTTCCCCGAGCTGGGCATGGTGGCACACACCTGTAATCTCTGCACTCTGGGAGGCCGATTTTGTTTTTAGGTGTTTATTTTTGGCCCTGCCACCACCACTGGTGAGTTTTAGAGGTAGGTACTTTACTTACAATCAGCACTATTTTTTTAGTCCATGTTTCCTATGTAGGCCTCATCTGACTGTAGTGTTGCCATGTATCTTAGTTACTTTCTTATTGCTGGGACAAAATACCCAAGAATCACAAATTAAAGGAAAGAGATTTATTTGGCTCACAGTTTATAGAGGTTTCATTCCATAGTCGGCTGGTTCCAAGGCAGAGTGACAAGGCAGAGGGGCATGGCAGAGGAGAAACAGTCCATGCCAGGGTAGGCAGAAGGCCTCAAGCCTTCCTTCCATTCCTTTATACCCCATCCAGGCTACAAGTCTCTTGGTTGCTGCCACCCACACCCAGGGTGGGCTTTCCCTCTTTAGTAAATCCATCTCCCATGCTCAGAACTATGCTAAACCAATCAGTGAACTAATACATCATCACAAACCCAAGACCCAGTCACTCCCAAAATCCCCACCTGTGAGCACATGAGGTTGGAGGGACATCTAGATACAGATCATACACCATGCTTTGGCCTGTGCAGCCCTTGGGGTGGTAAAGGCTGTTTATAGTTTCTGCCCCAGGATATTTCACCATTTCTTGTAGGTACTAACTCTCCCACACTACTGTAAATAGTTCCTTCCTAACCACCTCTCCAATCATCTGTGAGAGAGCCTTCTCTCTTAGGCCTGGGCCTTAGCTCACAAAAGTTTGGGCTTTGGTGCTTCAATTGTATGCATAAAAGGAAAATCATCTAGCTTGTGAACACTGCTATGATCTTCCTTACAAAGCCATTCCCAACCACCACTACTCTTAGTATTTTATCACTACAGTGATTCAAACTTCCTTTGTAGTGGGTGATAAGTGAAGCACTGAGAAAATAGTAGGATAATAGAAGGAAAGATAAGACAGATTCTCCCTCAAGCACCCTAGCTTACTCGGCAGATGTTCTTAAACATTTAAAAAGCTACACAAGATGATGTATAACAAAATACACAAAAGAGACAAAACAGACAGTAAATATTATTTGAAAGCAAAGAAGAGAATGATGGCATGGGTCTTGTTGAGGTAGGACCGCAACGACTTTAGAGAATATAGATATTTTCCATCATTATTTCCAACTTCTTTGTCCCACAAATAGCTTTGTTTTTACTTGGGTCCCTCTTTCAATTCCCTACAGCCATTTACAGGCCACTTAAAGTGGTGTCTATACAGGAATACTAACTAGTCTCTCTTCCCTGGTGCGCTCTTTGCAGGGCATACATGGTGCCACACTGTCTTACACACCAGGAAGATACATGGGAGAAGTTCACAGATCTCGATCAAGTAGAACAAATTCGCCAAGAGTGGCCCAGGCTCTAGAGGGAGCAAATCTGTTCTTAATTGCTAGTTCATCCTCCTACCTCCTAGTCATATTATCTTCAGCAAATTAATCGCTTGTTGTTTCAGTTCCCTCTTTTAGAGAGTTGCAGTTTATCTTCTCGGGTTTATTTTGAATTTTCAATGAAATAACATATAAAGTGTTTATTACAGTGCTCACTTCATCTTAAGGAATTATATTGGTATTCTACTACCCTTACTTTTACTAGTTCTAATAATGACATTATTATTATTGCTTCATCTTCTGAGTGAAAAACTAACAGCCCCTTAGTACTGTACAGTGTAAGTTAAGATTTATTTTATTACTAGTAAATATAAGTGACTTCCATAAATATTAATTAGTTTTTCAGGTCGTACTTATTCACCCTCAAATTCCCTTCACATTCATCAAAAAACATTTTGACCAACCAATTTTATTCAGTTAAACAACAAAGTAATAATTTTAAAAAATTAGAATTCATCTCTAATATTCTATTACAATATTTTCCAAAGTAGAATTTTAGCTATAAAATGGAAATACTAATTCATTAGTATTATACTTAGAAAAATGTCATAATTTATGACAGATTTTTCACACCAATTAAGTATTTTGGGATAATTCTTTCTATATAGCAAGTCAAAACTTCATTGAAATAGAATTTGTCAGTGAGTCATACTTGAAAATTTTAGGTTTATATAAAAGAAGCACAAATCATTGAGCTTTTATCAATCTTACTAATTTAGATTTGTGTTTTCTTGCATAAATGCCTCAGAAGACTTTTTGATTCATAAGTAAGCAATGCAGTTTGAAAATATCAGTTGACTACAGAGGCACAATTTAATTGCTGAAATTGAGAAATCCTTAATTTCCATAAAACAAAATTACAGATAACTAGCCCTGAAGTGATGAATTTTAGTTTTTTTAAAATTTCATTTGTAGTCTCTCCCATGTATTTCTTTTTCAGACATAGCTCCTATTTTTTTAAATATCAACTTTGGATACACAAAACCTGTATTTGTGCAACTGAATTAATAAGGAATTTCTATAACCTAAGATGACATAGCCATTATGAATAAAGCCCCTAAAATTTTTACCTTGTATCTAACCAGAGAAAGAGATGTAAAGGACAATTATAGCCAGAATTCTCCAACCCAAATGTGCTTCTTAGGTTTATTTATCCAGTCATACCACATGCCACACAGCTGCAAACTATTTTGAGGTTTACTAGACACTCTTGTCGAGAAATTTTTTCTTTCTTTTTGATTTTCTGCCTCATCTCACATTGGGGACAATTTACTATGGCTGCATTAAGTATTTTCTGAACTATTGCTGTTGCTAAATAATTCTGATGTCTTTGAGGCATGCTTCCCTCAAAAGTAGATTTCCTTGAGGCTTTGGTTCAATTAATTTAGCATATTGAGCATATAAATTGACACAAACAACCACAGTTATTATTTTGTCCAAAAAGGCCTAGAAGTCTAGGTGAAGCAGGGAACGAGGCACACAATTGGCTGCTTTCACGGGGAGTAGATCTCAGTGGGAAAACCTAAATGTAACAAATAACAAAATAATAAAGAGACAGAGACCTCTAGAAGACAATAGTATACTGATAAAGAATGTCTGTATGTTTCCTTTCTTGGAAGGACTGCTTTGAAGAAGCTAGAGAAGCATACTTTACATCAAGAAGTAGTAGATCTCCTACACTCTATTTCTCAAGTGGAAGGTTTAGAGAGAAAGGATGAGGAATGGATGAAGTGGGGAGATAAAGCAACGGGGCAGTCAAGGAGACGACAATGAACATAATAGCCAGCGAGGAGGAGGAATGGAGCACCAAGTGTCACAGGGAGAATGCGTGCCGCGGAAAGGTGTAAGTATGAGCTGCCCCCATGGTTACACAGGCTTGAAGCTGACAGAGCTGGAAATGTTCTGTGTCGTTTACCTTACAGATGGAATGAGGCCAGCTGAGGAGGGAGGAGGCTCTCCCACACTGTGCTTAGAGAGTTAGAACCAGAACTACTAGTCAGCTCCTGGTGGAGTTCATTTACATCCATCCCTACCAAGAACTGGGTTCTTTCTTCTGGATTGCTTGTGAGGTGGACACTAGTAAATATGATTCCTGAGCAACCATCAACAAGTGATAGCATGAGGTGTTAGGTCTCTACTAGCATTTCTGTGTGGCTAATATGCTGAGGGGCTAGAGGACCCTACAGGTGACTCAGGAGCCTAGTTCATGGAGTTTCTTCTATGGGGATGTGGACCCACACAAGCTGGGTTCCTATTCACCAACAACGGTAGTCTGAAAATTGTAAAAGCAAAGGAGGCTCTGTTCTGCAGAAGGAGAGGTTTCGGCAAAGGCCTGAACTAAAGACAAAGAAAACTAGGGCTAGGGATGATTAGCTCCTTAGTTATTTGAAAGGAATTTTAGAGAAGATTAAAAAACACTGTGGTCTAGTCTGTAGTTAAATCCCAGGGTATGTAATTTTAGCAATCATCTGGGAGTAGCCAGTGGCAGGAGCAATTGCGGAAATGCTGACACAGGGGGGATCAGATTCTCAGCGTGCATATCCGAAACTAATAAGAAACTTCCACTGATGGTGAAAAACGAGTTGGGAAATAAAAACAAAAAGGTGGGTGAGAGTATTTGAGTCAGTATTGAAAATGAATTGAATTCTGCTTACCCTTTCGCTACACGCTTCCCACTCGTTCTTAGCTTCCTGACCTGAGAGGTAAACAGCAACAAAGACATCTTCCTGAGTCTTCTGAGTGAGGGTGGGAAGCTGCAATAGTGTTACCAAGGAACCTCATACAGCAAACTATGTCTGCTGCCATGAGGGGAGAGAAGAAAGTTGTTGTTTTAGCAAAAATAGACAAGTGGGATTTCATCAGACTAAAATCCTGCACAGCCACAAAAACAATCAGCAGAGTGAAAAGATGCAGAATGACAGAAAATACTTGTAAACTGCCCTTCTGGCAAGGGGTTAATACTCCCAATACATGAGGCAATTAATTAGCTCAATGGCAGGAAAATAAATACAATTTTAAATGGACAAAGGAACTTCATAGAGATTTGTTAAAAGAAGATGTACAAACTGCCAATAGATACATTGAAAACATGCCCAATGTCACTGTCTGACCGGAAAACTACAAATCGCACAATATGATATCATCTTACCTCGATGAGAACGGATGCGATGAAAAAGACAAAGGTGGCAAGGATGTAGAGAAAAAGGAACTCTTACACAATGTTGGTGGGACTGTGAATGGGAAGGAGTGAAGAGGTTCCTCAAAAAATTAAGAATAGAACAAGTGTATGATTCAGCGATCTCTCTCCTGTAGCTATAGAGAAAGTAAAATGGAAAGGGTACATCAAAGGATTATCTGTACTCTCACATTTATTGTAGCGCTATTCATAAGAACCAAGACTTGGAATCAACTGAAACGCCTAACAACAAACGAATAGGCAAAAAAGGCACGTCTATACAAAGGGATATTATTTGGTCATAAAAAGAGTAAAGTCCTCTCAGTTGAAATAACATGAACAACCTGAAGGAGATTATGTTGAGTGAAATAAATCAGACACAAACGGATGAAAACTGTATAACCTTACTCATGCAAATTCTTAAAAACAATTGGTACTGTAGAAAACTATAAAGTTGTGCCTGAGGGTGGAGCTGAGTAGAACAGTGATTAGTAGAAGCCCAGGAGGGAACAGAATAGGAGAGCACGCACAAGAGAGTGGTTGGCAGGTTATAGTTACAGTTAGAGGGAATAAAGGAGCTCTGATGTTCTACTACATGATTGTGTGGCTTCAGTTAACAAGAAGTCATTGTGTATTTCAAGATAGCTGGAAGAAAAGTTTTTAAATTCTCTGACAATAAAGCAATGATAAATGCATGAGGTGCTGCATAGGGTAAGTAGCCTGATGTGATCAATGTATAATGTATATATGTATTGAAACATCGAATTGTCTATGGCCATACCACCCTGAACGTGCCTGATCTCATCTGAAACATCAAATTGTACCCCATTAATATATCTAATTAAAAAGTATTCCCCCAAAAGCCAGAAAAGCTTTTGACAAAGTACAACACTCATTCATGATTAAAAAAATAACCCTACAGAAAATTGGCATAGATGGTCTTTACCTGACTCTGATAGAAGGCATCTATGATAAACCAACAACCAACATCATACTAAATGGACAAAAGCTGAAAGCTTTCACTCTAAAATCAGAAACAAGACATGGATGTTCACTGTCAGTACTCCTATTCAATATAATGCTGGAAACATTAGCCAGAGCAATTAGACAAAAGAGAGAAATAAAAGGAATAACGATAGGAAAAGAAGAAGTCAAATTATCATTATTTGCAGATGACATGACACTCTACGTAGAAGACCCCAAAAACTCCACCAAAAGACTTCTAGATTTAATAACCAAATTCAGTAGCTTAGCTGAATACAAAGTCAATATTAAAAAATCAATAGCATTCCTGTACACAAACAATAAACTCACTGAGAAGAAATTAGGGAAATCATAGCCTTCACAATAGCATCCAAAAAATGAAATACTTAGGGATCAATCTAACAAAGGGAGTAAAGAATCTATATACTGAAAATTACAGTACTCTGAAAAAGGAGATTGAAGAGTATATCAGAAAATGGAAAGATATCCCTTGCTCATGAATAGAAAGCCAAGTTGATTTTTAAAATGAAAAGAAGATAAATCCATTTTGAAGTTTTTAAAGGAGAGATATTAAATAATAACAACTAACAGTTCCTCTGAATTCACAGCACACTCAGCTAGGGACCAGGAAAACTATAAAGTTGCCCTTCAAGATAGAGCTGAGAGATAGCAGCTGCTTTGAGATCCTTTCTGAAAACAGAAAGACAACAATAGAAAGAGCAATTTGAGTAAAATTTAGAATCTAGGTCTTTAAATCACTTTTATAAGACCTGTCTGTTCTTGGGGTATACTGGATTTCTCTTGGCTACAGAGCTGTTGGTTTCATCAAAATCTCCCCCTCTCAGTGTCACAAGGAATAGGTGATAATAAATACTTTGCTGCATAAGGAGACCTGCATGCAGCCTCAGCAAAAAGCAGAAGTGACAGATACACCTTCCTGTTAGATCTCAATTCAGCCCTTTTGAAAATGAAACTTCGGGAAAATGGAGGCGAAATAAACCAAAGATTTATATGATCAGTGCTAAATGGGATTTTCAGGCATTGTTTCTGAGTCTTGGTCATGGTATTACTTTTCTGTTCCTAGTGTTTTTACTGCTACTTAAATATCCCAGCTGTAGTAACTTCAAACAACAATAAACATGTATTTCACAGGGGTTCTGTGGGTCAGAAATTTTTGAGAATGCTTAGCTGGATGCTTGTGGCTGAGACTACCCTATGTGGTTGCAGTCAAAATGTCAGCTCACTCACAGTGCCATAACAGGAGGATGCAGTTCCTTCTGAGCTGTGTGACCTCTCTACAAGGCTGCTTTTCATGCCGTAGTAGTTTATACCCACAAAACAAATGGTCAAAAGTAGCAAAGGGGATTCATGCCTCATTTTGGGAGTCACACTCTTTTATTTGTGCAACATCTCATTGGTGGCATGTCAGTTTTATTCCTTGTGAGAGGGACTATGGAAAGGCATGAGTAGAAGGAGTGGAGGGCCTCCAATGCCATCTTGGAGGCTGGTTTCCACAGAATACTGGTAAGCTTTCCCACTGCAGAGCCAAAATACTCAACACCCACAATTTACAGGAAAAAAGGTTTAACTTGCCCCATGCTGTCAGAGGTTTTAGTCCATGGCCAGCTGGCTCCAAGGCAGAAACATGGCAGAAGTGTATTGCAGAGCAAAGCTGCCTCCTCCCTAGTGGCTGGAAAGCACAGTGTAAGGAATGAACAGGAGATGTGCCCTCCAAGGGCATGACCCCAGTGACCCCTGTCCAACTGGTCCCCCACTCCTAACAGAACATTGAGCTGTGAACCTCAATGTCCTAATCCACTCCTGTGTACAGAAGTCTCGTGTTCCATTCAGCCCTCCAGAAGCCTCACAATCCAGTCAAGTTGACAACTGAGATTAACTGGGACACATAGTCTTTCATATACCAACATGAAATGTTCCCCACTGCCACTTACCACTTATGCTATTATTTATTTAATAGTTTTCTTAGTATGGACTTTTTCAAAATTAAAAATCATTTTAAGTAATAATATCCATAAAACCATGGCTTTTATGGGATCATTTTGCCTTTTTAAAAATATATTTTAAAACATCTTAAGAAACAATAGCTGTAAAGCCATGGATTTCATGTACTCATATTTATGTTGATATTAATTTTCAAATATGAATGGAACGATCAGAACAAAATACATTTTTATCTTCCAGCAGCACCAAATGCAGCTCCAGTGTTTTATACACTATCATTTGGGAGGTGCCTCCAGCCACAGGCTTGAAGCTGGTCTTGCTTGGAGAAGATCCTTATGAACTCGATGTAAGTCAGGGGGCATTTGTTTCACGTGACATCCTCACTTACACTGAATCCCTTGAAGTCAAAGGTAATAGTACATGGGGGAATACTACCACGCTACAACAAAGTCCATTTGCTGCACAGGTTATATCTGTCACTTTCCAGCTCTCATTTGTAATTACTTAAAACTGAAACAGTTTAAAGAATTGAACCATAAGGGTAAAGGACATTGTTCTGGGGACATAAAACTAAACTCACCTTATTACGTATTGTTACACTGCTGTCTGCTTTCATTACCAAAGGCCATAAAGCAATTTTAACCGTTCCCTGGAATGTCACCAGCAATAAGTGCTTTTGCTTTACCGTTCTGTTGAAATGAATATGATAGTTATAGTTTAGAGCTTTTGCAGCTGGGACATCTAGAAATGCCTTCTGGTGTCTGAATTTCTGAAAATATTCAGTTTGGGTAACCTTGTTGTTACTTTAAGTATGGTTGGGGAAATCATGTCATAATCATTGAATTTTATTAGCAATCAGCCCTTTTTAATCATAAAATGCAATGTTCTGAAACTTATTGCCTGTTCTGTCCTGTGCTGGTGGCTCTATCTCTTCTCCTGGCAGTATACCCATGAATTGCATGTGCTTTCCTGAGGGTACCATATTTGCAGGTATCCTTCATGGCAAAGGTGACAATGTGAACAATGGCGGAGAGTGGCTGGCAGTAAGAGCTCCGCGCCGATGCAGATTCTCACCTCAGCCTGTAGCCCGTGAACATTTGCAGGCTGAAGATTATGTGACCTTTACCATATGCCTGTCAGCTTTGCCTTTTTAAAAAACTTCATTTGAGAAGGAAGTAACCCCTTTTAATTTGGAGTTTATACCTGAATTCATATAACTATTATATTGTTGAGTAGGTTTCTTCCCAATTATACTCTCAAGAAGCTAGAGAAAGTTTAGGAAGCTACAGAACATTACATATGTCAACAATATTGATGACATTATTCTTAAATTTCCTCCTCCTTCAGTTGTCTTCCTCTCATTAGGAAATTTAACTTCCAAGAATGGATCTTTTGCAACCTAAAACTATATACATCAAGCCAGTATATTACAGTGCAATACTAGAAAATAGTAGGACAAAATCATCGGCACTTAAAGAAATGCTTTTTCATCATGAGGATTTTTTTCAGTAAAGGAGGTTTTAGCTGCCTGACATATTGTGTGTAATGATAATAAATGGAAAACTGAGCACACATAACGTTTAGGGAATAAAAATGTGCTACATAGATGAAGTACCTGTCCTCGCTCCAGCTACTATGTAGAATTAACCCCTCTAGCTCAGTGTCTCTCTGGACTAAAGGAATCATGCTAGTTTAAGTTAATGCGAACCCTTTAAGTTAATGCTATTCAAACAGGAATGTGGCCAGTGTCAATCTGGAAGTTGTTCCTAGTCCTTAATTAGATAAGCAGAACCATTAGAGGTGAGCATTTAAAAACTGTTCTAGCAGTGGAGCAGAATGACTATTGAGTGTGATAATTAAAATGTGGCTTATTTTGTCCTACTAATTTCATTTCACATATTTTCATTTTATTGGAAAATAGAAATGATCCATTGATTTTCAAACTCAGAAACCTGAAATGCCATTTTCCATGGTGCTCGCTACTTCCTCCTTGAGTTTGAGCTCTGTGTCCTGTCCCGAATTAAACTCCCCCTGTTGGCATTGGGGGTGAGTGTTTCACTTGGACTGCGGCAGATGCTTTTCACGGGAAAGCAGCTGTGAAAGCTGATCAGCCAGGGCTTTTCACTTGAATCAGTTTAAACTCAAGTGCACAAAGATGTGGCAGACGTAACCAGACACATTCTCTAGCTATTTCTTTCAAATTTACCATCTTAGCCTTATGCCCAGAGAGTGTGTTTGGTCTGTGTCTCCAGTATTAGGAAGCATACCAAAAGCCTCCTGTCACGGATAACAATACCCTTTTCCACATTAGCCTCTGAATCCGATGAATTTCTCAAGAACAAATTGAATGAATTTCCCCACAGTCTGGCCATTCTCTCAAAGGGTGATGCTAAAACAAGTTTCATCTTTTGGAAATGAGCGATCTGTCAGTTTTGACACATCACTTCTCTTTCCCTTCCACATGTACATCTGGAGCCCAAATGGTTTCCTTCACTTACCAGCTCCTCTCAAAAGAATTAGCCATGTCTTTTTCTTTATCGGTCTACCTGCTTAATATAACCACTGTCTCAGTCTCTGATGATCTATTTTTCTGTTTTATTTTGTTCCCTTTGTTATACTAGAGATTGAACCCAGGGCCTTCACACTAAGCTACAACCCTAACCCTTTATTTGATTTTTTATTTTGAGACAGGCTCTCACTATGTCAATAAATTTCTCAGGCGGGGTTAAAACTTGCTTTCTTCCCTCCTCTGCTGCCTTGAGTGCTGGGATTGCGGGTATGTGCCACCATCCCCTGCTGGGTCATCTGTGTTTTGAATGATCTCCTTCCCTTTCTCTTCTGCTCATCTGACCCCCTGACTCTTCTTTGTCTTCTTCCACTTTGTGAGTCCTGTCCTGCTCCATCCTACCGAGCATGTTGGATTTTCATGCTTTGTGTTGCTTCCCTTTTCTCTCTGTCCCTGGGCTCCTAGGGCAATGAAGTCTTAGCTGATCTTTTAGTTTATTGTCATACTACCAAGCACGCTGAATCCCATCCCAGTGATGTTTATTCTCTGTGCTTGTATGGATCATATCTGGCAAAGGAAATGGATTTTGGATTCTCAGGTGTCTATGGGGAAGTCACTTCAGTGTGATCCTAAGGGTCGCTAATGCATGTTTACATGGTGCAGGTGACATCCTAAGAGCTACATACATATGCACTCATTGAATTCCCAACAAGTCCAAGAGGTGTAGAGCAATATTTTCCCAATTTACAGCAAAGAATTTGAGGCATTGAAGGATAAGTGACTTGCTAATCACATAAATCATCAGTAAGGACCCAGGTTTGGCTCGGGAAGTTTGGCTCCAGAACTCATGCTATTAATCACTAGGTTCCAAAACAGTGTTTCAACACTCAGTACTTCTGCTTTCCATCTCTTCTCCCAGTTCCACGGACTTCTCCAGTTCGGTGCCCCTCATACGGCCACATTCTAACAACCAGAGAAAATAAAAATTCCTTCCTGAGCTCGTGAAATCAGACGACTTCCTCTGTATCCACCATCCTTTCATTTCATTAGACAAACTAAACTCAATCCTTTTATCTTGATGACTTGCTTCCAGAGCCTTACCCATGACTCATTTTGCTGAATATAGACATTTACAATCATCTTATTACCATTTCCTGTGTCCAGAGGGGCAGCTTCAGAGAGTGCGCTCTTCCACTGAGCCTGCGTTTCAACTCGCAGCGCCTGAGAGACTCTAGGGAAAGTGCTTCTCTCCCGGACTCCTTTGATGACCTCTACTATTTAAAACACAGAGTCCCATTTGTAATCCTTTATCTTCTGCAGTCGGGCTAAAAACCAAGCACAAAACAAGGCCAACTTAAGCAGAACAGCCAGTATAGTGGGAAAGGAAGAAACACAAGGAATATCATGAATTTTGATATATTAAATGGTGGAATGAAAAAGCTTAATCTTTAAAAATTGAATATCTGAACTTAAAAATTCAGTAGTCATATGTTGTGCCAAAGTTTAGTGGCAAAAAGAAGAAAGTCTCTTCTTGACCTATTGTGAAGTCACATAACTCCTCCTCATGAAAGGGCAAGAAAGTTCCTCCCTTATTTTTCAATTTTCTTTTTCTTTCTTTCTTTCTTTTCACAATAGCCAGCATGAGCTTAGTCATTGAGTAGTTATCTTTTATGTATCTGTTTCTTTTCCTCCTTCTTGCAATCCATCAGCTTAAAAAAATAAAAAGTACTTCTTTGGTTTACAAAGTCCAAAAAGACTTGGCTCCTGACTTACCCTCTGACTTCCCTCCCCTTCGCCCACACACTGTTCGCACACAGGCTTGCCTCCTTGTCCGTGACCAATCTCAAGTAATTCTGCCCACCTAGGGACTCCTTCACTCTACTTTTCTCTCTTCATAATGCTCTCCCCCTTGGTCTTCCTGAACAATTCAATCTAAAGGGTCTGTCCAGTTACTCTATCATCTCACTGTATTTTTAAAATTTTAAATATAGCCTTTTTTCCATGCAAGTATTCAGTTATCTTGAACTTATTTTTTAAAATTTTAATTGTACAAATGGCATATTACACAGAAACCGAAGGTATATTATGAGGCTTAGTGCCTCAGATGAGCGTATTATCTTCTGCAAAATGTCAATCCATAATTATGATTTTACTCAGTTTTAATTTGCCACTTTTTTAGTTTATTAGTACATGGATGAGGCATGTAATGTTTACGTTCCTTGTGGGAAGATGATCCATGTCATCTTATTTTCATTTTTACCTTATTTTGATTTTTTGCATTATTGTAGAACTTTCATTTGGAAATCGTTACCTAAATTTTAGTTTGCAAAGCATAAAGTGGAAGTTGTTTCAGCATTACAAAGTGAGATACTAGATTTCCTATACAGGATGTTTAAAATAGGTAGACAATTTGATTTTAAAAGTTTTAGCTAACCATTAACCAACATTCTATAAAAGGAATTAAAAGGGTCAGGAGAGGTATTGGAGATTAGCGATTAGTTTTTCAATTGAATTGATGGTATACCATGAGCCCCTCCCCCAGGTACCTATATTCAAGAAGAAGGGCTGAGAGGAAAAGCTACCTCAGCTTCTTTTCTGCCTCCTGTATAAACTTGATAATAAGACACAGTGATCTTCAACCAATATCCCCTAGAATCATAGGACACAGCTTGGCACCTAGAAATACCTAAAGGCAAGAGATAAGCTGGGTTTATAAAAGAGCAGAAAGATAGGGTTGACTTGGAATGGCCTGGATTCACAGATTTGTTGGAAGAAAGGATACTTGAGAACTGCCTATGGCCAGATGATGGCCACAGGAGAAAGCACCCGCTGAGACACCTTTTCAGTCCCACCAGAGTGCAACCCATAGGGGAAAAGGGAGCCTAGAAGGACCTGGGCTTCTAGATTTCTAGCAGCTGAGAGAGGAAGTGTATTTGGTCACTCTGAGGAATACAGATGACTCACATCATGACAAAGCTACAGAATTCTTCCACTGTAATGGTAACATCATTGCTTTTGATCCCTTTAGTTTGTTAATTTTCTTTTATATATTTTATGTTGCCTGTCACATATGACTAGAAAATAAATTTGATGAGAGTAAGGACCTTTTCTATTTTTTCATGATTGGCTACAGCAGTA